TGCCTTGCCGAGCACCACACATCAGCCACCCACATTGATCTAATGAGGTCTTTACCTTCCTCTTCATACAGAAGACAGCAAAGGGTCCAGGTGCTGGAGGGAAAACAACGATCTGAGAAAGCAGCATCAGGAATAACAGATTTGAAGACTGCTAAACAAATTTAATGCCAGTAAAAAGCAGCAGCCTGAAAGATAAGTACCAAGACCAAAAGACTGAAGACTATGAAAACAAATGTAAGTAAAGATACTGAAGAGAATAATTTTTAAGTATTCCCATTGGTGTCTGCAAATCATATACGACAGTCTTATTTCCCTAAAAGGAGAAAAGTTGGCTATGAACACAGAAAAAGGATACAGATATTAAATATTCTTTTGCTGACTTAGGACAACAACAAAAAACCCAAAAGCTCTTAAGATAAGACTTGAAAACAAAATGACCCAAATGACAAAAATGAGCAAATCTCTCAACGCACAGAATAAAAACATGGAAAAATGGAAATGATGAAAGTAAAGGAGGACAGAGGGCCGACTGGGGAGAGGCACTGACCGTCTCAATTTCTGGGTGGCAGGAACAAAGAGAGTGGAGGGAAGGAAATAATCACAGAAAGAACCGAAAATGTCCCAGAGCAAGTCAGTCTTCATCTCCATAGGATCCATCCAATTACCAAGCAGGCACTCTGAAAAAAGACAGGCAGCCAGACACACTGCCTGCGGAAATACCTGAAGCCCAAGAATAATGAAAAACTCGCAAGAAGAAAAAATAAAACCGGTTACTACAAAGGAATGAGAATCAAGCTGCCACATGACTTCTCAGTCTCCCCAAATACTAGGAGATAACGCAGATCATCCATAATCTTCTGAAGGAAAGGGATTTCAACCCCAAATTCTATAACCAGTCGATCATTCATGGAGTGGGGCAGAATAAAGGCCCTTTCGGATACCCAGACTCAGAAGGCGTATAACCACATAGTGATTCTGTAGACCGCTCCAGAGGCCTCTATCAAGACTCAGCAGAATCTGGGAAAGAATGCATGCCATACGGAACTCGTGGTGGACAGACAGAGCTACAGGAACTGGTTCTTGGTACAGCCAGAGAGGGTGGGTGACTTATAGACTATGAAAGGGAAGCGTGCGTGGAGCTAAGATTTACTTTATTTTATATGTCCTATGTCTTATCTGGCAACCCTAGGCCTAAGAGATCTCCCATTCCGAGATCTTGGGCTGGTTGGAACACAAGCAGATGACTTACTCCCAACAAAGGGTGGAAAGTTTGCAGTGGACTTGGACTCCAGGTCTCCATCTGGCCAAATTTCTAATGATGTATCCTTAGAATGATTGCAGTTACAAGCTCTTGAGAAGTTATTTACTTTTACTTCAGTGAAAAGGGGATAATAAAAGTGCCTACCTCCTAATGCTGTTGTCAGAATTACATGAGCTAATCCAGGTAAGGAATTTAAGAGTGACTGGAGCATAATAAGCAGCCCTAAATTGTAGGTAATATTGTAACTGACTATTATAATTCTGTCATTTTATCTTCACACTTGGGACAGCAAAAATAAGCGGGAAATGTATATTAGAATTGAAATAATTATTGTTTAAGTAGCTAGAAGATGTGATACGATTGTTAACAAAGAATTCTAAGAATACATAATTATTATGTAAAGAGAAAATGAAATAAAGAATATTTAGTGCATTTCCACAAAGCCCGAGGTAAGGGAGGAGTGTATCTTATTTGCATGAAACTACAGATGAAAATGTTCTTGCTGTTGGTAGAAAAATGTGTTCACATATGTGTTAAACACATCAAAGGTAATAATGGAATAAAAATAAAATGTAGACCTTCAAAACCAGTAGAAGAAGAAAGAAGGAAAGTAAAATAAAACAGGAAAACGTTGGGAAATGAAAAGATGAGGAAGGACAATTGACAAGAAAGTTATTAAAAACGCAAAGCAACTCTTAGATGTCACTGAAAAATACTGAGTAATAAGTAAACAACTCACCTGGGCTGTGTTCATTTTCTCCTGCTCCTGGAAAAGTTTAGAGAACTGTGAAGGCAGAGCTGAAGGAAAGGGAGAGAGCAAAGAAATTGTGAGAAATACGATCAACCTTGAAGGTCCTTATAGCAACTTGCCTAGAAATCCCCCATGTATTAGCTGACAGTCACATGGCGGGAGATTGTCTCTGACCCTTCAGAAGGGGCAGGCATGCTGAGGGGACTCTTGCAACCCTGGTATAACCAGGGGGAGCTAAAAGAAGCAGGCTTTTCATTGTGGAGAGTAAATATTTTTTCCTTATTGGTTTCTTACAATTTATAGCCTTCTTTGATTTAATAGCAGACAAATATAAAATAAGGTAAAATCCAACTAAGAAAGACCTGGTTAAACCCAGATAGCATAGCAAGGATGCCATGCTGTGCTTTTGGTTATTATTAAACCTGTTACATTTCTGAAGTTTCTGATGTCTGGGATTTACATTAAAATAATCCAGTAGAGGGCTTCCCTGGTGGCATACTGGTTAAGAATCCACCTGCCAAGACAGGGGACATGGGTTCGCGCCCTGGTCCGGGAAGATCCCACCTGCCGCGGAGCAGCTAAGCCTGTGCACCACAACTACCGAGCCTGCACTCTAGAGCCTGCGTGCCACAACTACTGAGCCCGTGCGCCTAGAGCCTGTGCTCCGCAACGAGAGAAGCCACTGCAATGAGAAGCCCACGCACCGCAATGAAGAGTAGCCCCCGCTCACCGCAACTAGAGAAAGCCAGTGCGCAGGGACGAAGACCCAACGCAGCTAAAAAAATTAAATTAATTAATTAATTAAAAAATAATAATAATCCAGTAGAAGAAGGTGGAGGGGGAAAGTGTATGCACATGTGCGTACGTGCGTGCATGTTGGTAGCAGGGAGGATATATATGTTAATAATTGCTGAAGCTGTGACAAGTATATACAGTCATATTATTTTCTTTACTGTTGTATGTTTTGAATAGTTCCATTTTAAAAAGTGTATAAAATGATGCAACAACCAAAACCTGATAGAAATTCTACTGATATTTTTAACTCCGTGAAGTTAAAGAATTAATAGGAACTTCTGACAACAGGGATAGGGGTGCTTTAACAAGTCTATTTTTTTTTAAAGGGATTTATTCTCCTTTGGTTCCAGTGTCTTCAAAGGATGTTTTACTAAGACACTTGTTTTGACTTAACTGAGATGCGGTGGGCAGAACAGTGGCTGGGGAGGCAGGGGCCCTGGATGCGCCTTTTGGTTCCACCACTTACGAATAATACAAAGCTAGATTATAAGAATGTGGGTATAATAATATTAGTGATACCAACAATACTCGCATAGTGCTAACTATGTAACAGACATTGTTCTAAGTCCTTTACATATATTACCTCATTTATTCCTTAAATGGAGCAAGATGAAGAATTTGGGAATAACATCTACACACCAGTGTATATAAAACAGATAAACAACAAGGACTTACTGTATAGCACAGGGAACTATACTCAATATTTTATAATAACCTATATGGGAAAAGAATTTGAAAAAGAATATATATATGCATAACTGAATCACTCTGTTGTACACCTGAAACTAACACAACACTGTAAATCAACTATACTTCAATAAAAATATATATATATAATAGAAAAACCCAAAAAAACCCAAAACAAAAAATAAAGCAGAAATTAAAAATTTAACACACACCTACAAAATTCCAAGTCCATTTGTGTAAACAATTTTCCCCAAACCTTCAAGAAAAACAATAATCTACAGAATACATGCCAGAAACAGAAAAATAAACTTCCCCAATGCAATCTGTATGGCTCCTGTACTCTTGAGGCCAATGTCAGTTTAGGATAAGTGGAGAAAAACTTAGCCACTTGTTTCCCCGTATAAACTTAGATGCAAAAATCCTAACAAGGATTAACAAACTAAATAAAGCAATTCAATTAAAAAAGTTTTTTAAAGAGCAAGAGGTAGGTACTATTATCCCATTTTATAGATGAGGAAATTGAGAAGTTAAAGTAATGCTGTAGAGCTGGGCTTTGAGCCCTGGCGGTGTGGCTCCAGAAACCCTGTATTTAACCCCACGCTAATTACTTCCTTAGGCCCCCAATTGAGGCAGGATTACAGAACTCCTGAAAACTCTTCCTGTACCCGGATAAAGTCAGGGATTGGGGGGGGCATATCTCTAAATTCATGTGATGATGGGCGTGGCTTGAGGGCTGTGCAAAATCCCGGAAGAGGGGCTGGAGAATTAAGGGCATCTGGGAGGAGTTTCTGGGAGTAGTGGAGAGTGCCTCCCTAGCCCTCCTCCCAGACGTGTCCTCATCAACCGTCCTCAGAATTTCCTCTTCCTGAGAAGCCTGCCTCCTGCCCACCACCCTCAGCCCAACTCCCCCTCCCTTTGAAAAGTTGGCCCACACCTCACGGACCAATGGTTCTCCACAACCTCTGGTGTGGTGGTGTTACTCAGGGCAGAAGGATCAGGAATTGCTTCCAAGCAAGCAAACAGAGAACCTGCTTGTTTCTGGGATCTCTGCCCTGCAGCTGTGGTGAGCGTGTCCAGGTAGCATGAGGATCTCCCTGGTAAGAGTCCTACTCCTGGTAACCCCTCCTTCTTTCCTCACAAGAGCTGTGTGATCCAGGGAAAACTTGTAGCTGGCTGGGGCGGGGGGAGGGTAAATTCAAACAACTGGAATCTTCAGCCCCAGTCCCAACTCTCTCTTGCAATGAATTCCCCATCCTCTACAACAGAAGTTCTCAGAGTGGTCCCCAACCAGCAGCATCAGTGTCACCTGGGAACTTGATAGAAATGCAAATTCTTGGGCCCCTCCCCAAACCTCCTGAACCAGAAACTCTGGGGGTGAGGCCCAACATAGCTATTGGGTTTTAACAAGCCCTTCAGCTGTTTCTGATACATACTTTTTTGAGAACCATTCCCAGAAAATCTCCAGAGCTTCTGGAGAAGACTCAGTCCCGGTACACTCCAGGTCCTTCCCTGTGGCTCTTAGGGACATGCCACTCTGCTTAGTCCTGTGAAGGATGTGCTGCTAGACAAAACCCAGCATGGGATTTGGAAATAAAACTGTTTGAGGTTTGTAATCCCAGCTCCTTCAATTACTGGCCTGGAGACTTCCCCTCCAGAGTCTTGGTTTTCTTGTCAGTTAAAATGGGATGGGTAATACTGACTTTCCAGGGGGTCTTTGAGAACCAATAACGATCTTAAGGAAAACAACAGTGATAAAGGCAATTAACATTTCCCGGGTGCTTAGTGAATGCCAGGACCGCTGCTGAGTGTTTACAGGTTATCTTAATTCAATCCTCAAAACGACTTTGAGACAGGTTTTTAGAATAACTTCCTTTGGCAGATGGGGAAACTGAGACTTAGAGGCTCATCATTTTGTCCATGGAGACTCAGTGGCCAGGCTAGAATTTGAACTTGTCTTAGTTCAAATTCAGGCTCTTAAATCAGCCTGCACATAATAAATGTTATCAGAATTTATTCTCACCCCCGCCAGTGTCCTGGATTTGACTCGATAATGAATGGTTGGCCAGGGCACATGCAAATTCGAGGAGCTTCTGGAAACAGCTCGTTACCATTAGGATGCTTTTTCTCAGCGCACTTCATTCTGACCTAGTAACCCGCGCTTCTCCCTTAGCCTCTTCGTGGAACCTGTAGGTCCGTAGCCAAGCTGCTCTGTCACTTGGCTTTCTTTAGCGGCAAATGCAGACCAGACTCAGGAACAAGTGCTATATAGGGTCTCAGCCTGCGTGGGATTCGCGCAAGTTTTTGCTTCCACCAGGTGTGGGCATAAAACCTACCCCAAGCTCAGCAAAACCCCCCTCCAAACTAGGTTCTCACCTGTAGCGCACATCCTTCGTGCAGGACCCCTCACTGAGCAATGCGTAGACCCGAAGGCTCCGGAATTACCTGCCGCGCGAAGCTGGAGACCAGGGAGCGGGCGAACAATGAGGAGAACTGCACATGCGCAGAAGGAGCCGTGAGGGGCCAGTTCCCTGCGCTCTCCTCCCGGTAATCCTTCAAATTCGGGACTCCGTTTCCCATAAGTCTCAGCGCCCCCTTCCTTAGAGAATGTCAGAAGAGTTCCTGCTTTACTTGGTGAGTTGGATAATTTGTCCACCTCCACTCAAAATTGGATTTCAAAAGTAATACACCGAAACTGTGGCTAAAACGGCAGATACACATAAATCTAACGAAGATTTGATCAAAGGAGAGTACTCATAATCTCCTCTCCCAGAAATGACCATGTTAGGTGATACCTTTATTAAAATAGGACCCTAAAAGTGGTGTGTTATTTTGACCTTGTCATTAAACAAGTGGTTAATAATTTTCTTATTCTTTTTGCATTTTTATTTTGAAAATTTTCAAACTTAACAGAAAAGTTGCAGGAATGATTCATTACGAATGAACACCTGTAAAATGTTTACTTAGCACCAATTGCTATTATTTTGCCACATTTGCATTCTCTCAATTCCTCTCTCTCATCTTCCTCACCATTTGAGAGTAAGTTCAAACACGAACTGTCACCCCTAAAATTAGCATATATTTTCTAAGAGTAGAACATCCTTTTACATAACCACCACAAATCAAATTCAAGAAAGTGAACACTGATATACTATTATTATCAAATATGTAGACCATATTCAAATTTCACCCGTTGTACCAATAATGTCCTTTATAACTTTTTTTTTTTCTGATCTAGCAACTGATTCAGAGTCCTTACATTCAGTTGTCATGTCATTTAGACCTCTTTCGTCTAGTTCCTCAGCCTTTTTTGTCTTTTATGATATTGGTAACTTTGAAGAGGACAGACTTGTTTTGAAGTGTTCCTTCATTTGGATTTGTCTGACTGTTTCCCCACAATTAAATTCAGGTTATACATTTCTTGGCATAACATAATGGATGTTATGTTCTTCTCAGTAAATTACACCAGATGAGTTTCACACACATGATGTCAGTTTGTCCCACTTTTGGTAATATTAACTTTGATTCCGTGATTAAGATGATGTGCAGGTCAACGTACTTTTATATCAATTGTTTCTCTTATGCCAATAGTAGTAATAGGAAATAAGTTCCAGTCACAGTAGCAGTCAGTATCTAGGATTAGGTTAACAAGAATTGGGCAGAACTTACACAAAAGAAACTATTACACTCTACTGTGTGACATTAAAATGTGAACGGAGACATGTACTGTCTTCCTAGATAGGAAGACAACATTCTTTAACAAAATTCCAATCAAAATCTCAATAAGTTGAGTGATGTGGTTTCTTCCTTTAATTTTATTTTACTTTACAGAACACATCTAAATTTCATCTGGAAGAACAGAAAAACAAAAAAACCTAGGAAAAAAGCCAGGACTTAAAAAAAATCAGAATACCTGTATTTCCTATTAGATATGAATATGAATAATATTAACGTAATATTCAAAAAGCTGCCTCTGGGCTTCCCTGGTGGCGCAGTGGTTGAGAGTCCGCCTGCCGATGCAGGGAACATGGGTTCGTGCCCCGGTCCAGGAAGATCCCACATGCCGCGGAGCGGCTGGGCCCGTAAGCCATGGCCGCTGAGCCTGCGCGTCCGGAGCCTGTGCTCCGCAACAGGAGAGGCCACAGCAGTGAGAGGCCCGCGTACCAAAAAAAAAAAAAAAAAAAAAAAAAAAGAATTTTAAGGTGGAAGCTGATTGATAGTTGTGTTCAACTATATTTGATATTGTGCTTACCTCTTGAATCAATTATTGAGAGTGGGGTATTGAAATTTCCAACTATAATTGTGAATTTATTTCTCTTTGACGTTCTTTTTGCATCATGTATTTTGAAGCTCTGCAGGTGCATAAACAATGCTCCTGATTAATTGACCTCTTTATCATTATTAAACAAACTTACATATTTAGCATGTAGTTATGAATGGCTTTTTTTATTCCTTTGGTTAAATCCAAATTTTGTATGTCTGAGTTTTTTCGCTTTCATTTTAAAAAATTATTTCTTTAAATTTATTATTTATTAATTTATTTTATTTATTTATTTTTGGCTGCATTGGGTCTTTGTTGCTGTGCACGGGCTTCTCATGGTGGTGGCTTCTCTTGTTACGGAGCACAGGCTCTAGGCTCGCGGGTTTCAGTAGCTGTGGCGCATGGGCTCAGTAGTTGTGGCTTGTGGGCTCTAGAGCACAGGCTCAGTAGTTGTGGCACATGGGCTTAGTTGCTCCGTGGCATGCGGGATCTTCCTGGACCAGGGATCAAACCCATGTCCCCGGCATTGGCAGGCAGATTCTTTTTTTTTTGCGGTACGCAGGCCTCTCACTGTTGTGGCCTCTCCCGTTGCAGAGCATAGGCTCTAGATGCGCAGGCTCAGTGGCCATGGCTCACGGGCCCAGCCGCTCCGCGGCATGTGGGATCTTCCCGGACCGGAGCACGAACCCGTGTCCCCTGCATCGGCAGGTGGACTCTCAACCACTGGGCCACCAGGGAAGCCCGGCAGGCAGATTCCTAACCACTGTGCCACCAGGGAAGCTCCTTTGCTTTCATTTTTGAAAGGGTTTAGCTGGGCATAGAATTCTGGTTGATAGCTTTTTGTTTTCTTTTTCTTTTAAACATTAAAGATCTTTTTTTTTTTTTTTGCGGTACGCGGGCCTCTCACTGTTGTGGCCTCTCCCGCTGCGGAGCACAGCCTCCGGACGCGCAGGCTCAGCGGCCATGGCTCACGAGCCCAGCCGCTCCGCGGCATGTGGTATCCTCCCGGGCCAGGGCACGAACCCGTGTCCCCTGCATCGGCAGGCAGACTCTCAACCACTGCGCCACCAGGGAAGCCCTTCCATAGCATTTTAAGATCTAGAATGATGAGGGTAAAAGAAACACGTGCTAGTTTTCCATTGTTAATTAACCTTTTTAATTAAAAAATTTTCCTAGCAATTAACCCATTTTCATTTAGATTTATTACCCAAAAAAATAAATGCTAGAAATTATCTTTTTGTTAAACTGTGGGGTCATAAGTTTGATAGAGTCTAGCGTTATCAAGATACTAGAAAGTAAAGATGTGCTCATGCAATATAAGAATTTACTTGAGTGTGGTGTGTTTATACACAAAAAAATAGGACTCCTTTTCCTTTCTAAGAATCTATGCCTAGAATACATTTCAACAAATTAACAAAGATGTGTATATATGATTGTTATTAGTGTTCTCGGCAACAACAAAAATAAACAGAACTCAAATATCCAAGTAGAGCACTGGCCCAATCAATAATAACCCTGTCATAAAGTAAAATATTAAATATTAGTAAAACTGATAAACCAGGTTAATATTTACTCATAGAGAAATCCCCAGTTTTGTTCAAAGTATTTAAAGTATAATCAATTTCACAGATTGCTGTATCTATAGAGAGAGATTTTAAAGGACCTTAGTGAAAATAAAACTTTAATCCTTGCTTAGAATTTCATGTGGCTCTTTTCAGAGTCTTTAAATTTTTCTGTTTTGGTGATTACAATTTCAACGAGTCATTTTTCAGTTACAAGTATTAAGTATTTCAAGTTGAAAGAAATTTTTCACTGGATACACGTTGATCACTTAAATTATCCTTGTACTTGGAGAACACTTCTCTCTCATTCTTCCCCTGACAAACTCCAACTTCTCCTCCTACCCCTCCAAAGTCCTCAGTCACTGAACCCTTCTCTCCCTGCTACCCCACTAACTAGTGATCTCATTTGTTGTGATGCCTGGATTTAATTTTATTTTTCTCATACTGTCTTCCCATTAGCATGTCAACCATCACTGGTGAATTATCATGCCCTTTATGAATCTACGAATACCTTCAGGCAAAGCTCTCACCATGCCAAATATCAAAAACCTTCTACTTTTGTTCAGCGTTATGAATATGGTGAACGCAGCATGGCTTTTAGCTATAGATCACAACTTACTGAACACCAGCGAATTCACAAGGTAGAGAAAGCCCACAGATACGATGAAAATGCAAAGGACTTTAGGCATCCCGCATCATTTACAGTGGTCCAAAGAATTTACATTCTGGATAAACACCTTGAACGTAACCAATGTGGCAAAACCTTTAACAGAGCTTCAAAGTTTATTCAACATCAGTGCACACACGGCGGACTGAAACCACACAAGTGTGATGTGTGTCCGAGGGCCTTCAGGTTTCTTTCATCCCTTATTACACATCAGAGATTTCATGCTGGCAAGAGATCAAATCTGACTCAGCATCAAATAATTCCTCCACAAAAGAAACTCTTTGTCTGTACATTTTGTGGAAGGACCTTTCACAGTTTCTCAGAAAAAATTCAACACCAAAAAACTCATACTAGAAAGAAATATTACACATGTAATCACTGCAGAAAGGACTTCAATCCATATTCAGTTTCTCTTACATCAAAGAGTTCATATTGGAGAGAGACCCTACAAATGTAATGATTGTGAAAAATCCTTTAAAAGCCAATCGAATCTTAAGAAACATCAGAAAATTCATACTGGAGAGAAGCCCTTTTCATGGAATGAATGTGAGAAGACCTTTACCCAGCTCATAGATCTTAATCGTCATCAACAAATCCACACTGGGGAGAAACTTTACATCTGTGATAACTGTAAAAAGACCTTTGTCCGTTTCTCAGATCTAACGCGACACCGAAGAACTCATACTGGAGAGAGACCCTACAAATGTAATGTTTGTGAAAAAACCTTTAAACATCAGTCAAATGTTATTAAACACCAGAAAATTCATTCTGAAGAGAGGCCCTTTACATGCGACAGATGTGAAAGTACCTTTCGCTATTACTCTGAGCTTAACCGACATAAAAAAATTCATACTAAAGAGAAACCCTATAAATGTAGTGAGTGTCAAAAGTTTTTTAACCATAGTTCAAACCTTAGTAAGCATATGAAAATCCATACTGGAGAGAAACCCTTCATATGTAATCAATGTGGAAAAGCTTTCAGTCTAAACTCTATAAACTTTCTTGACATCTGAAAACTCATAATAAAAAGAAACCCTAAGACTATAGAAGATGCAGGAAGGCACTTAGAAATCACTTACATTTTACTAGAAATCAAAAATCTGAACCAAAGAGATCAATGTGGGAAGGGTTTTAACCAAAGCCCATTCTTCTGCATGAATTCATCCTGTATGGAATATTTTAGAAATTTAAATACATGTTGAAGAAACGGGAAGATGTGATCAGAGATGTACTTTCTATATTATAATTGACTCAAATCTTTGAGCAAAAGTAGTTAAACATGCTCAAGCAAAACGTGAAACTGAATAAGGCAGTTCCTATGATGGGAAGTAGGCTAAGAGGCAGCTCCAAGGGTGTAGTAAAAAGAACAGATTCATTTTGCTGTTTGTTCATAATCTATTTTCACTGGGTGAATAAAGTCATATTTTTAATAGAGGTAGCTCTCTAAAAGTGTAAACTTTTGTATGGAGAGGATGCAACCCTAACCTAAGTGTAAGTAAGGAAAACAAAAGCCATCTCTTTGGAATTAAAACTTCAGAGAAGAAGAAACTTTGCCAGTGAACAATGAAAAACAAAAAGTTGGTCACTATTTAAAAAACTAAAGGATAAAGAGTTAAGAGGGTAGACATGAGAAATCCAAAGGTTGTGGGTCAGTGGTGAGAAGATAGTTTCTGCTCCTGTTCTAAATGAAAACAACTCGGAGACACCCAGCCTCCCCAAATTCTTGGATGTATCTGGAGAACGAAGAGGAGACGGAGAGATTGCAACAATTCTAGGACTTAGATTCAGGACTTGGAGAATGTATTACTCATAGTGTTATCTGTAATAAGTTGATTTCCTGTATTCCCTGATGACTAAATCATAAGTTTTCTAGTGCATGCTAATACTGGTGTGTAATGCTGGATACAATCAGGTCTTGTGTCAGAAACCTAGACTTTCCTGAATTGGTTCCCATAATCATTGGTGGCAGCTTAACCCTGTTCAGCCAAGTGGGATGGGCGTAGTCTAACAAGTCTCTTTAGGACTGGCCTCAATCCATAGAAAGTGATGGAAAGACAACACTGTTTCTTCGAGGGTCATCTTCTCAACTTTCTGACCTCTGCTTTCCCAGATATTAGAGTATAATAGTGGCTGCCACAGAGCTAAATTGTTGTAATCCCCAGATGTGGCCCCTCGTCTCATGATTGTTCCTTATGTGCTTTTTATCTCTAAGAAAAGGTGTGTACATAAGTTCACTTTTTGCAAATAACCTATAAAACTATAATGTGTCTGTTAAGTTACATATGAGCTGAAAATGCAACTGAAATAAGTTTTTAAATGAGTGCAAAATAAATGTTATAAATACAATTATAAAAATGTAAAATGGTTATTGGAATAAGGAGGGGAAAATTTGGCAATTACTCCTAATTTTGGTCCCTAAAATTCTGGTTTAGAGTCAAATTTAACAGGAATTATTTTATGTGCTTAAAAACATTAAGAATTTCCAACATGGCCCCTAACTGTAAAGTCTATATTGTAAGGAGAAAAGAAAGAAGCATAATAGAACAGAATAGCTTGTACTGAAAAGTCTAGTATTCCAAATTTGCTAACACCAGACTCAACAGAAGCCTAGATTCCAATAAGCAATGTCTAACATATTCTTTTTATATCTGTTGCTATGTTTCCTGGGAACTATCACTAATTATAAGCCAAAAGTCTCTAATTATATGAAAATAAAAAGGATAAAAGGATAGTCATTATGCAAAAGTTAGGCCATTCAAGACATTCTCATTGGCAAGTTTCAGCTGAAAAATCTTAATTTCCTATCGGATTTTAATATTAAAACACATAAGATATTTCTACTGTTTAAGCAAATAATAGAGTTGTCGGTATGGTAAGTGGAGAGAGAAGATAGAAATGCTTATATAGAGGCTTAAAATGTCATCTAAACACTAACATAGTGTGCACAACTTCCTTTTTTTGCTTTTAATAATTAATTCCTTATTTAAATCCACTGTCACATGTTTGAGGACAGAATCCAACAGGGTGTTGTAGGTTGACATGAGTTGCTCCAAAAGATACACTGAAGTCTTAACCCCTGTGTGCAGGAAAAACTCAATTCTCCTGTGTTTCTCCTTTATCCCACACTACCACCACATTCACACTTGTGACACCAGATGTGTGGGTTTTCTTCCCACACCAAGCAATTCTGTGATACTGTTGAGTGTCTTATAATTTAACTAATTTCTGACTATACCCACCTGGGGGTAGTGTCAGATCCCACAGGGTAAGGGTACAAGTCCCACAAGACTGCCCCTCAACCCCAACTTCAAATCCCAAGTCCAGGTTGTCACCTGTGCTTCTGACTGATTGGCTATAAATCAGAGGTTCCCGTGACCCTCTCCTAGAGTTTGATTAACTTGCTAGAGCAACTCACAGAACTCAGGTGAACAGTTTACTTGCTGTTTACCAGTTTATTATAAAAGGATATGATAAAGGATACAGGTGAACATTTAGATGGAAGACATGCATAGGGCAAGGTATGTGGGAATGGGCATGGAGCTCCTGGGGAAGCCACTCTCCCAGAACCTCCACCTGGAAGTTCCAAACCCCATACTGTTGGGGTTTTTATGGAGGTTCCATCATGCAGGCAGGATGTGGAACCAGGAGGATGGAATACAATGGTTAGTCCCCTTATTACCACCTCTGCAGATGAAGGGATTTGGGTCCATTACTAGAAGGCTATGGAGACAGAGTTAGAAGACAAAACCCAACCTGTTCAATCTGAGAATTTAAAGCACCATAAATTAGGAAATTATAAGCTACTAAATTATCATAGGAACAGTTGGTTTTAATGTGGAATGAAATAAGGTTAGATCCTCAAACATACTGTCACACAACAATGTGGAAAGGAACAGATTAACTTAAACATCATCTTTTTCATTATTTTAAAAGGGAGGCACACGTGGCATAATGTCTGAATTGTTGAACGTTTTCATGGTGCCTAGTGAATGTTACAACACACTTATTAAACACACTCTATTTTATTCTCCTGTGTGAGTTTTCTGATGTGATAATGAGGTTTGATTTATGGCTGAAAGTTTTCTCACATTAATTGTGTTTATACAATTTCACTCCTCTATGCCTATCCACAGAGTTTTAGCATTGTGTACATTACATGATTTGTTCCTTTGTTGATCACCACTTTCTCGGAGCTCATTCCTTATGAGTTTTCTGATGTAGCAGGAAGTTTGATTTGTGGCAAAATGTTTTCTCGCATCCGTGACACTCACAGGGTTTCTCCCTATGTGTATTTTCTGATGTTCAGTGAGAGTCCACAGCCGATGGTAGGCTTCCCCACACTTGTTACATTCCTAGGGTTTCTCTCCCATATGAATTCTCTGATGTACTCTGAAGGCTGACTTATGGCAGGATTTCCCACGTTCAGCACATTCTTACGGCTTCTACCCAGTGTGAGTTCGCTGGTGTTGAACAAGGGAGAACTTCTGCTGGAAGGTTTTCCCACATTCATTACACTCGTAGGGTCTCTCTCCTGTGTGTGTCCTCTGATGGCGAGTGAGGGCCGACTTCTGGCAGTAGCTTCTCCCATACTCGCTACATTCATATGGTCTCTCCCATATAGTTCTCTGATGCTTGATGTGTGAGTTTTTGTTGATGGCGTGTCCATGTCCGTTGCACTCATAAAGATTCCCCTTTGTGTGCACTCTCATATTCCCTGTGGTTTGACGTCACAGCGAATGTTCTACCACATTTCTTAAAGACACTGCGTTTCTCTCTAGTGTGAGTTCTGTGATGTATAGTGAGTGTTGACTTATGGCAGAAAAATTTCCCACATTTGTTACATAGGTAAGATTTCTCTCCTCTATGAGTTATCTAATGTGCCGTGAGGGCTGCTTTAGTACATAAATTTTTTCCACACTGACTGCATTCGTAGGGTTTCTCTCCTGTGTGAGGTCTCTGATGCACATCGAAGGCTGAATGACAGAAGGTTTTCCCACATTCTTCACATTCATTTGGTTTCTCTCCTCTGTGAGTTTGCTGATGAACAGCGAGGTAAGATTCTTGTTGAAGGTGTTCCCACATTCTTTGCATTTGTAAGGTTTCTCCCGCGTGTGACCTGAAATGTTCAGTGAGGGCTGACTTCCCAAAAAAGGTCTTCCCACATTCATGACACTCATAGGATTTCTCCCCTCTGAATTTTCTGATGCACGACGAGGGCCAATTTGTCAGTGAAGGTTTTTCCACATTCGCTTCATTCATAGGGTCGATCTCCAGTATGAATTCTTCGGTGTCGAGTAAGGTTCGTCTTTACACGGAAAGTTTTCCTACAGTCATTACGAACATAGGGTTTCTCCCCTGTATGAAATCTCTGTGTACAATGAGGGTGGACTTCTTAGAAAAGGTTTTCCTACATTCATTACATTAACTTGGTTTCCTTTCAGAATGTACCCTGTTCTATGTGAAGAGGACTGCCCTCTTGAAGCGGTTTTCCCACATTTTCCATAGCCAAAAGGTCGCTTCAAAGCCTGAATGTTCTGCTGCAGAATCAAATCTTCATTTTGACTTCTGGCTTTCCTAACTGGATTATATTTGTATTGTTTCATTCCAGAACGACTTTTCTCTTGCTTAGAAACGAGTTGTGTTTTCCCACATTCACCAGGAACCTTTTAAAAGTAGCTTTTCTTTGCAAGGATTACTTCTGAATTAGTTTTTAAACTGTTTCCACATGGATATCTGTAGGGTGTTTTTCTTGAGGGAATAATATTCATGCCCAGATTAAATGTTTTCTCAAATACAGTAGCTCTCTCTGTAATCAGTGTTTTATTGCAGAAGAATACAATTTGCCTCAAATGTTTGCCTTGGATTTCCTTGTCCTCCTTTAAGGCATCATCAGTCTAGGAGGGAGTACCATTAATAATAACTTGTGATCCGTGACACACTTGCTATGAAATGAGAGTTCCTTACAAATGCCTTGTTGTGGTGGACTGGCCCAGCTCTTCAGGATTAAGGAAATGTCAAATACAAACATCTCCGACTGATTCGGGGGAAAGAAAAAAACAAACAATAGAAAAAAAGCCAGCCCACCCACACCAGCCTGTTTAACAGGATGAAAGGAAGAGGAAAGTAGCAAAGAATACGAGTACCTCTGCCATGGAAAAAGGAAAACAGTCACAAGGAACAGTAAGCACAAAGTATACTGCAAGTGTGTCTGACACAGTATTGAATAAGACAGATGAGACTCAAAGAAGCACTCAGAGACAGTGAGACCAGCAGAACAGACTTCAGAGAGATGGTCAGAGTTACCAAGAGACACAGAGGAAGGGGTGAGTCTCAAATTTTGCCAGCGACATGGGAACTTCAGAATTTGCACAAATACAAAGAATAGAAAGAAAGATTGTGGGCTGAGCAGGGCTGGAAGTAGGGTGAGGTAGGCGTGACCTCTAGGCCATCTGCACCACCCCAAGAGTGAGTGTCTTCTTAAGTTTTGTATCTGAGGCACCTTGGTTGTCTCACCCTAGTTCCCCCGCAGTGGGGCTGAGCGTGGAGAGTGAAACTGATCTCTCAGTTAAAGGATGGAGAGAAATGTGGAATGCAACTAGATTTGCAAATAGATTGTGTAAATCAAGCAAGATTTATTTTTTTAAGACTGACCTATGAATGTCTGAATATACAGCAAGTCTATGTTAAAGGAAGGTGGGGTCAGGTAGGCAAAAGAGAATGCCACAGAACTAAAGTTCAGAGTACGCTAAAAGAGGGTCTGTATACCAGGGATGGATCACTTAGCAGCAAAAATCTTTATAAATTTCGATTAAAGAAGTACATTTAGGACTTCCCTGGTGGTGCAGTGGTTAAGAATCCGTCTGCCAATGCAGGGGACATGGGTTCGAGCCCTGTTCCGGGAAGATCCCACATGCCACGGAGCAACTAAGCCCGTGTGCCACAGCTACTGAGCCTGTGCTCTAGAGCCTGCGAGCCACAACTACTGAGCCCGTGTGCCACAACTACTGAAGCCCACGCGCCTAGAGCCTGTGCTCCGCAACAAGAGAAGCCACCGCAATGAGAAGCCCGCGCGCGGTAACCAAGAGTAGCCCCCGCTCGCCGCAACTAGAGAAAGCCTGCACGCAGCAACGAAGACCCAGCACAGCCAACAATAAATAAACAAGCAAACAAATAAATAAAAATTAAAAAAAAAAGAAGTACATTTATTCGGGGACAATGTTTTTAAGTATCTATAGCATGACAGTCATTTGCCCTCAATTACTTCCCAAGGTCTGGGGCCTATAAAAAGCGATTCCTGAGGAACATTGCAAAGATGCCAACTACGCTCACTAACCACCATAGAACTCTCATTTCCACTGGTTTCCACCTGCTTAGTTATCACTCACCTGAGTAGTTCTGACTTGAGAATTCCTCTACTGTCCATGGTTCTTCTCCTTGCTCCAGTCTGAAGATCACATCTGGTTTGCTAACGTTGATACCCTGTTAAAATGATATAGAACTTGGACCAAGCCCTTTGGACTTTGGGGACTTGAAGGATGAAGAAAGACAGCTTCAAAAGCTGTGTGATGAAGATGTCCAGCAACAGGTCATTAGAGCTAGAACATTCAGGAGAAGGGTGGAGGGAGGGCAGTGAGCACAAGCACAACGCTAACATTGCCTCAAAGGGTTTAATCATCTCCCCCCTGACGCTCAAGGCTAAATAATGAAATTCAACATGTTTTTGCAACACAGAGCAAACACATCTCTTGGTAGTTACACAGGGAAGCTGTACTTACCCACTGAGATGCAGTTGTTCTCCAGCATCACATCCCTCTATAGGAGCCTCTGAGCACGGTCCAGGTGCCGCCACTCCTCCTGGGTGAAGTCTGCAGTCAGGTCCTTGAATGAAACCAATCTCTGAAAGAATACGTTTAATCTGAGGTGAACAGAAGCCCAGTGGATCCCTGGGGTGCCCCCATCCTCCACTTTGGAGACCACTGTTGTGATCATGGAAATCCATAAAGAGATATTTGTCAGCAAGGACTATTAAGATTTGTGATCAAATTTGCATTTTGGAAGCAATGCTCCAGAGCATAGGGGTCTGCACACTACAGCCTGTGAGCCTAATCCAACCCACTAAGACCCCAATCCGGCCATGCCCATTTGTTTACACGTTATCTATACTGTTGTCACACTACAGCAGCTGTGCTGAGTTGATTTGACAGAGACCATAGGGCCAGCAAAGCCAAAAGTAGTTATTATCTGGTCCTTTACAGAAAATGTCTGCTGTCCCCAACTCTAGAAAAATGGGAAATGGATTAAAGATCAAATTAGAGGGGAAGAAAACTAGGACGCCACGGTGAGACATGACCACAGGCAGCTCTGGTAGGGGTGGGAAGGAGGGAATCAATCCTCCATGATGAGGAACCAGAGGAGTTGGCTACTAATCGGTTGTGCGTGGGAGATATAATGTGCAGATTATTTTGTTCCAGATCTTTTTTTTTTTTTGGTACACGGGCCTCTCACTGCTGCGGCCTCTCCCGTTGCCGAGCACAGGCTCCGGACGCGCAGGCCCAGCGGCCATGGCTCACGGGCCCAGCCGCTCCGTGGCACGTGGGATCCTCCCGGATCGGGGCACGAACCCGTGTCCCCTGCATCGGCAGGCAGACTCTCAACCTCCGCGCCACCAGGGAAGCCCTCCAGATCATTTTGGTAGCATCATATGCTGAGATTAGGAATACAAGACAAAACCAAGAAAAGAACTGAGCATAGGAAACTGATGCATCACTGTTTCAGATGCCATGCTCGAGTCTGTGAAGGATACAAGTAGAGATGTCCAGTGGGCAGTTGGATATTTGGTTCTGAAGCTCAGAAGAGAGAGTGGTGACCAAAAGCAATATTAGAAGGCATAAATAACGGGGAAGATCTCTATGGACCAATATGGAGATTCCCAGGCTATATTGGTAAGTAAGAAGGAGTATCTATAGTATGCTACCTTTTATGTAAGAAAGGGGATGTAAGAAAATACACATGTATCTGCTTATGTGTAGAAAAGAAAATACAGAAAGGGTAGACCAGAAACCAAAGAAACTGGTTACCTTCAGGGGACAGGTGGGAATAGCTGGAAAGAATGGGGGCGACAGGAATGGGGTAGAATGGGATGGGGGGAAAGCGACAACTCTCTAAGTGTATCTTTGTCTGTGGCTTCACAGACATTCTCATTGATGCATTTCAAGGAAGGTGTGGTCAGACTGTCAAATGCAACAAAGAGTTTAGTAAAGCATGAACTGGAAAATACCCACTGGATTTGAAAATATTTACTAGAACAGATTCATGAGTGTGGTGACGGCAGAAACAAGACTGCATCAAGTGAGTTGAAATGACATGAGCAGGTGAGAACCGTGGTTCAAGCAATTCAGAACAATCAGAGAGTGGAGGGCACTTCCCTGGTGGGCCAGTGGGTAAGACTCCACGCTCCCAATGCAGGCGGGCCCAGGTCCAATCCCTAGCCGGGGAACTAGATCCTGCATGCATACCATAACTAAGACCCAGTGCAGCCAAAAATAAATAAGTAAATGAAAATAAAATCTTAAAAAAAAAAAGACAGAGTGGAGATTGCAGGGAATGACATGTATGTGTTTAGGAAGTAATCTCCTTAGCTACGCCTGGTACCCCTTGCCTCCAACTCACAGCCTCACCAATCCTCCAATGAAGTGTCTTTTCCTGACACATCTGTACCCTGCCCTTCCCCTTCCATTGCAACTCGCATCTTTCTTCTGAAAGTTGAACTGAGGCTTTGCTGAGTCATAATAATCAATGGTCTTTGAATATGGTATGATCACCCAGATTCTGCTCACCCTGGAGAGGAAAATTCTGGTCCAGTAACTCTTTTTTTTTTTTTGCAGTACGTGGGCCTCTCACCATTGTGGCCTCCCCTGTTGCGGAGCACAGGCTCCGGACGCGCAGGCTCAGCAGCCATGGCTCACGGGCCCAGCCGCTCCACGGCATGTGGGATCCTCCCAGACCAGGGCACGAACCCGCGTCCCCTGCATCGGCAGGTGGACTCCCAACCACTGCGCCACCAGGGAAGCCCCTGGTCCAGTAACTCTTGAATATGCTCCTTTCAGGAATTCTGTCTTGGCCTTAAAATCCTAGGGAGAGATTTCAGTTCCGAAACATGTTCTTCCAGGTGTGATTTCTGTCCTTGGCGCCTTCTGCTTTTTCCTTCACTGGGATGGTTTTGTTTCCACCTGGGCGTAGCGGCCACTTTTCCATTAGCTGGAATCTGCACTTGGGGTCCCAAGGTTCAAGTGCCTGGTGAGCTGGACCTTTCCTAAAATCCAATCAAGGCTGCTGAGAAGTGAGACAATACCGCAGGAGGCAGAAAGAGCCTAGAAGCCTCGATTATGCCTTGTGACCTAAGGAAAATAGGTCCAATGGTTTGATTATCAAAATACATAGTATAACTGCTTTCTAGGGCACACAGAAGGCAAGTCATCATGCCAGAAAAAACCCAATGTGTAGGCAGGGGGGAATGCATATTACAAAGATCATGAGACTGGGAGTAAAACAGACTTCATTTTAAAATCAACTCAGTCACCAGAGAATAAATCACTTTAGCTCTCTGTAAATGAGGTTTTAAAATGTGCTCCAACAGGGGGCAGTAATGCCGACTTCACAGCCTGGTTGGGAGGATTAAGGGAGGTATCTAAAAATCTTTGTAACACTGATTGCAAGGGATACGTGTCGAGGGTTTATTATATTCTGGGCTTGCTTTTTACTTCAGAACAACCCTATGGGGCAAATATTATTCCTAGGCTCATTTTACAGATGAGAAAACAGGATGAAATAGCATGCCCTGGGATGCAGTGCTGCTCTGTGGCAGCACCTGGTCTGAACACAAACATCATGCTCTTAAAATCTCATGCAGCGCTGCAGACAACACCCCCCAGCGCCAGCCCCCTGAAATCTTTTCCAGTCATATCTACACCCTGGCCATTCTCTTCAACTGAAGCTCACATCTTTCTTTTAATAAATGCTTAGTATAAAATAACTAATATAATGATTACCATATTTGTTTCTATAAATATTCCTTCCCTTCCCTAACGTCCTCCACTATTCTTCAACCCAGCCCAGCAGGCTGCAGATCCAAGCGCCTCAGCGGAACTTTGGGGATCAGATTTTAGCCATTTGGATGTACAAACCTTGCACCTTCACAGAGCACTTTCTTCAGGCAATGAAGGGCTGCAGGGAGCGCCCGCCATGAGGCCTGCAGGTCAGGAGCCCGGCCCTCGCTCCCCTTCTCCGGGACCATGGGAAACCCGGCTCCGGGCCTCCCTGGAGAGGAATGCGGGGAGAGCGCGCATCCACTCTCCAAGGACCGAGGCCAGCTCCGCCCAGCCACTTCCCCTCCAGCCCCCGAGGGCTCGGAGCTCCCCGCCAGTCATTTAACTTGTGGGTGTACCCGCTTCGCTCCCAGTTCACCAGGCCCAGATGACCACGGAACGCCGCGCCCCAGAGGCTGCAGGACCCTCCGCGGGAAAAGCCTAGTGGAGAACAAATAGACGCGCCCACGTAGAAAGACGAGGCCCCACATGCGCAGAAGAGGCCGCCGGGCCGTCCTTCCCAGGTTTTCCAAAGGGCGGTCGACGCCTTTCCGGACTACATTCCCCATAAGGCACCGCGGCCACCGCCCACAACGGAGGGCTCCTTAGAGGACCCTCTGTTGTCCTTACTCAGCTTGGTTGATTGCTAGGAACCATTAATACAAAAAGAAAAGGTGCATATGAATTTCACCGAAGACTATAGATGAGAAGCGAAGATTACAGACTATGAGGTGTCCACCAAAATGCTAATGATTCCCAAATCCTTATCTTTCTCCTAAACTTCTCTTAGGAACACCAGAGGTGTATAGTCCCTTATTCTTCCTACTGCTTTTCCCACTCAGCATCAGAACACACACTGGGGAGTATACCCAATGAGCATTTTAAATGTGAGAAAGCCTTCTATAGTATATATCCAGGATCTCATAGGGGAGCAAGCAGAAGAATGTAGCCAACACAGCAAAGCTTTCACCTATTTTGGTGAATCCATATACATATTTTGAATGTATGAAAACGTAGAATTCAGACATTCTCTAATCCAAGAATTCATGCTGAAAGGAAATCTATCAGTGGGGAGCATTGCATGGCTAGTCCAGCTTATGGCTTGGAAAGAGCAGGGCTGGAGGATTGGGTGACAGCAAGAATATCCAAGGAAAAGACGTGTAACAGGGAGCTCAGCTCGGTGCTCTGTGATGACCTAGATGGGTGAGAGGAGAGAGGTCCAAGAGGGAGGAGATATAAGTATACATATAGCTGATTCACTTCACTGTACAGCAGAAACTAACACAACATTATAAAGCAATTATACACCAATAAAAAAAGACGATGTGAAGACACAGAGGGGATGAAACCTACAAGCCAAGGAACGCCCGAGGCTACAAGAAGCTAGGAGGAGGGCTTGGCGAATATCCCTCACTTCCCTCAGGAGGAATCACCCCTGCCGACAAGTTGTTTTCAGACTTCTAGCCTCCGGAACTGTGAGACAATAAATTTCTGTTGTTTAAGCCGCCCAGTTTGCGGTACCTTGCTACTGCAGACCTAGCAAACTAACACAGAAGGCAAGATGGCAGAAGGAATGATTTGATGACAGGCAGAACTTACTGCAGCGCTATGGAAATTTTTTAAAAGGAAAATACTTAACCTCAAAGGTAAAATTTACCTATGAGCCTGTACCTAAAAGTGATGATTTATGTAATATTTTTATTCTCTTTTCTTCAGTGCTTATCTCAGTGAGGATCTGTGTGTATTCTATTCTTTCTGCCTTTACACACACACACACACACACACACACACATTTGAAATTCAACTAGTAAGCTAAGAATAGTCTCATAGTCCTCTTCCTAAAAAAAAAAAAGCATTCATGGCAGTGGGCAAAAATTGTGAAGATCTTTGTGTTTGTATTAGTTTTCTATCACTGTGTAAGTGTTAAGGACCTGGGTCCCTGGAGTCTAATCAGTAGAAATTGATAAGAGGCCACAGTGGAAATTGCATTGTCAATATTTGCTGGCTGGTCTGCCTCTTTCCCATCCTCCCTCCAGCCATTTCCCCTCCTCTCCCACCCCTTTCCCGTTGCTCCCCTCCCCTCCTGCTAGACTGTCCAGACTGATGCATCACCTCTGAGGACCAGTCCCTGAGCTCTGTGCTAATAAGATTTTTTTTTTTTTTTTTTTTTCGGTACGCGGGCCTCTCACTGTTGTGGCCCCTCCCGTTGCGGAGCACAGGCTCCAGACGCGCAGGCTCAGCGGCCATGGCTCACGGGCCCAGCCGCTCCGCGGCATGTGGGATCTTCCGGGACCGGGGCACGAACCTGTGTTCCCTGCATCGGCAGGCAGACTCCCAACCACTGCGCCACCAGGGAAGCCCCTGTGCTAATAAGATTGAGCCATGGAGTTGGGGACCTGGGAAGCTATAGAACTCAGACCCCGTCCCCCTATCACTTTCCCTGTTTTCCCCCTTATTCTTGCAATAATTTCTCCTCTGTTTTTTAAACCATTCATTCAACAGATGTTTATTGGAGCACCACCTATATGCTGGAATCAGCCTGAGATTCACTATCTCTGCCGTAGATTCAATGCTGGGATTTCTACCCTTGCAAGACCCACTTATGTCGTATTGTCCAAATAACTCAGAAGAGAGAATATCCATACACATCACAAAGAAAATATAAAGTCATAATTAATTTTATTCTAATAGAGCTATCAGGAGGATTGTAGGACGGCATCACGTTCCCCTAAGAGATGTTGAAGTTTTAACCCCCAGTACCTGTCGATGTGGCCTTATTTGGAAATAGGGTCTTTGCAGATGTAATTAAGATGAGGTCATACCGGATTAAGGTGGCCCTAAATCCAATGGATGATATTTTTATAAGAAAAAAGGAGAGGGAGATTCAGACACGGAGACACAGAGGAGATATTCACAGGGAAGAAGGGCATTAAAAGACGGAGACAGAGATTGAAGTGATGCAACTACAAGCCAAGGAAGAAGCTAAGAAGAGGCAAGGAGAGATTCTTCCCATGAGCCTTCAGAGGGAGCGGGCTCTGCTGACACCTTGATTTCAGACGCATAGCCTCCCAAAATGAAGACAATAAGCTTTTGTTTCAGGCCACTCAGTGTGTGGGAATTTGTTACAGCAGTCCTGGAAAGCTAATAGATGTGGCAACCTCCTTCCTGCCTTGGAACCTTTGTACCTGCTGTTCCCTTTACGTGGAAACCTCTTCTACTGGGTCATCACATGGCTGGTTTCATATCATCCTTTCTGGTCTCCACTGGGATCTGTCTCCTCAGAGATGCCTTCCTCAACCAGCCTAAAGTCACTTCCCTTGAATTACTGTGAACCACAACTCCTTTACTTTTCTTCATAGCACTTACCACTCTGAAATTATTTTATAGATTTCTTTGAATATTTATTTGTTATCTTTCTTATCCCAACAGAAGCAGGCTACATAAGAATCACATCTACATACCCAATACCCAGACAAGTACCTTGTATATGAGAGGAACTCAATAAATATTTGTTAAATGAACTTATTAAATAAAGGCTCAGAACAGTCAAAGAAGAAAAATTTCCCAGTGTCACACCACCAGGAAGTGGCAAAGCCGTGATTTAAACACAGGTGCTCTGATGCTAGAGCCCAAGCTTATAACCATTATGCAATAACATAGTTAACTTTGATGCAGAGGAGGAATAAATAAAATTTGGGATGGGGTCCAATAAGAAAATAAGACACAAAAGAGATTAATTTTACTCTAGTTATTGGAGTTAGAGTATGGCAGCATTAGCTGGAAAAATAAGACTGGGTTTGCAGTGCAAGT